CCCTTGATTGTGTCGCTTAGGGTGTGTACAAAATTGGTCAAAACCCTGCTCATGGTCTGGCAGGAATGGCACTGAGCTGGGATACGCAGTATGTGGGGTTTGACTTGTGGATCGTATGCCAACTCAGCACAAAGAGTAGGAAAAAACCCTATAAATTGGAGCTGTGCCCGAGCCTCATCCAGGCAAACTGCTCATGCCAGCATAGTTCAGATTACAGTAATGAGAAAACTAATTGCTAGACTCTAACATTTCCCTGTAACAAATCCAGATGGGTCTTACTTTAACTTTAATCCTTTTTAGACACCATAAGGATGAAGCATTTGTTAATGGGTCAGAGTAGAGAGCTGCCTTGTACTACACAAACCCAAACAGCTCCGTTGGTAAATTCATTCCCCTGCCATTTCAGTGAATGGTGTGTTATGTTCAGCCAACACCAAGTAACATTATAGCAGACAAACCACTCGTCCACTCGGCGTAAACCCCCCCCCCGCCCCAAGAGAATTGAATAATATGGCAGAGCTCTAAAACAATTTTCTATTTCAACAGATTTACTCTTTCCAGTTTATGTATAGCTAGTGCAAATTAGTTATTTTATCTTGAGACGAATCCTCAAGTGGGCACTCCCAGACTTCAAGGGAAAGTGGGTACGTAAAGCGAGTGATTCAGATGATGAGTGAGGCTGAGAATCTCGGACTCAGTTACTAGCCTCAGCCATGCCATGTCTCCTGCTGGAATTGCTAAATTCTGCTCCTTGGACCCACAAATACTACCCTCCACTCCAACCTGTGATAATGGTAAGACAGAAGAATTATAATTTATTTGGTTTAATGTTCTCCAGGGTCTAGTAGGCACTTAACACTTTTATAGCAGCTGAAAAAACAGGAGCTTGAAATTACTTTGTACTTGTAATCCAGCTACCCCTGATTTTTCTCTGTTTATGAGCTTTCTTGATGGATTGTTTCAGGCTGTTACTCAGTGGGAATTGCAAATGTATGTAAATTTTTGTGTACTCTAAAGCAAAGTAGCTAGAGCACTCCCCTCCTCCTTCTGAGAGTAAGTCATTTTGAGCACCATCCCTGCTTTCAGCACATCACAAACTAACATGTTGCTTGGCGTAGGGCAATGAGATCACACCCAGCAGCTTTGCAACTTTCTTACTCCTTCTAAATGCAAGTGAAAACTGGCGGACCTTCCAACCTAAAAAATACTTTGAGTGGTCAAGTCTCCTCTTAGTGTTAACAGTTTGGGTTTTGGGGTTTTTTTTTCTGAAGCATGTATATTAGCTACTACCAAAGATAACAAGATGGCCTTGGATACTACTTACTTTTTTTCCCCCCCACTGAATGTGACAGTGGTTCAACACCTGACAGCATGGGCTGATGTAGCGATGGGGATGCTACTTTTCTTCTGTGCTTATGGTGTTCAGTTTATTTTAAAAGAATGTGATGATGCAAGAAACTGAAGGCAATTATTTTAGCTACTCAGCTTATTTTGCTGTCATAGCAGGATAGAAACTCGATTTTGCTTTTCACAATCCCCCTTCAGCACGCTGAACGAGGCTGCAGGATGGGATTCACGTAGGAGAGCGATCCTTTTGTTATTGTGGCATCAAATACAACTCAAATTCCAGGCTTCATGGGATTAGCCCCTGCTCCAGTGCATTACTGACTGTGAGGAGCACGCACTGGGAGATAAACTGGTCCTCTATGTATATATGACAATTCATCTACTGTTTTCTGCAACAGCATCCACCACGCTGCACCTTGCTCACAAAGCCTAAGATGAGAATTTTTATTATTTAAGTGACCAGCCACTCTGCTTGTTGGTGCTGACTGGCAGTCCTGTGCTCCCCTTCCCCCCAACAACCATTGTCTCTTGCATGTAGTGTTACTCCTTTTGACAGCAGTGAACTGTTAGATCAGCTCAGCCATCTCACAAAATTTCCCCTTGCTAGGATATCAAACCAGGATATTAGCAAATAGCCATGCCAGGAAACAAGTTTTGCCATTCTGGCCACGCCTCAACTTGAAATGAGAAGTAGGCAGCCCAGAAGATGTGAGTCCTCACGACTTGCCTATTCACGATTGGAGAAGATGCAGTGTGGATCATGGCTCCACAAGCCAAGCAGAAGTCGGGAAAGCACCCCAGTTGCTTTGTACAACTGGCAAGCAGATAAGGGCTCGCACATCTTGTTGGAGTGAGGCCAGACTTGCTTTAAAAATATATATTTTATTACGTATTTTCATGCTTGGAAATACTAGGTCTCTGGATTCCATCCTTCATCCCTAATTCATGATCCTGTACCGCTCTGCTGCAGAAACAGCCAATATAGTTTCTCGTTTACTCCCATGCTATAGCAGTCCTGCTCCCCTTCCTTGATGCAGGAAGCACCAATCTGCTGCTGGCAAAGCACACACGGGATGACCAATTCTTTCCTCATGTGCCTCCTCTAATCGTGCAATTTGTTTACGGCTTTAGTTGCAAAATGCTGCTGCTGCTACTGCACCTGACTTTTTAAGCAGCTGACCATGGGCAAATGCTTGCTGCCTCTTAGTAGAAGTGCTGCCTTACACCGCAAAGGTGCAACTGGAGAAAGCGCTAAAGGCCCTGTTGCTATCCTCGACTGGAAAGAAGCCAAGAAGCAAAATGGAGGTTAATTTTTTTACCTGGCCTGCTAGAGTAGACTGCATTACTAGAGCACCCATCTGCTAGCACATCATCTGCTGAGTGCTCACAACCTTCTTTACTGTATTTCTGAAGGCAGTGCTTAGCTGGAGATGCTTTTCCAGATTCTTCTTTCTGACCAGTTGCACACCAGGTGGATGCCGCAGCATGTATCTTTTTTTTTTTTCCCAGTGTATTCAGTCAGTTGCTCAGTTAAGCAACAAATCTGTTGTTTCATGAATAGTTAATTAAATAAGGCAACTAAAGGAATATAGAGAACAGCAGCTCAAGAACTATGCACTAGAGAATTTTAACTAGCAGTTTATTTCAGGGAAGAAAAGAAAAACAAAACTTGTAGCTGGGTGACAAGGGGGGAAAATATAAATGATGCCCAAATTCCTCCTCTTACGGTCATCTTAAGACCCTATTTTTATATCGGCAAAAGGCCGAGTCTGGCTCCAGAGATGTGAAAGGAACGTTTACTTGTATTTTCCAATTCTGTGCGAACTTCACTTAAGGAGATGACAAGTGTAAAAACCACGAAACTAAAGAAGAATATTAATGTGAATTAACCTTGAAGTTAAAGCTTGTTTACCTTCTACTTTCCAAAAAACATACCTTCACAAAGTCCCTTTCGTAAAGGAGAAATGTTTATTTCAACCTGCTTTAAAGTAACTTCTTCCCATTTTCTGCTCTAATGTGAGAAATTCTTATTTTGTACTTGTTTACTGGTGTTAATTTGCACAGTTATTATACTACAGCCAAAACCAAGAAAGATTTATTTATTTATTTATTTATTTTAAAATCAGACCAAACTTCAGGTTCTCTTGAAACTAAGAGCTGTGTTCTGTTCTGTTCTGTCCTGGTTTGTTCCCAATTGCTACAGATTTAGCTTCTCGCAGTTTTTACAATGAAAGAGCCCATTTTGCTGGTTTTCCTTAAATTGAAAACAAGCTCACAGAATGAGGAAAACATTAAATCACTATTTTTAATGCGATAGGAAGTGAGAAGGGATGTTTATTTGGCTTCATTTGAAGACTGCAAAATCACATCCTATTTATACTTAGCACCTTGAATGATCCACCATGAGAATACTGGAATTTTTACAAAAAAAGTAAACATTTACTAGAAGTTAACCTCCAGCATGTTATGAAAGAATGCGTTATTACTTGCTACACAGGAGGCTAAGCTATACAAGCTGTTTAAGTAACATTACTTATATTAAACCTGAATGGTATTATATGGGGCAATAGTGAATCTTACTTACTGTGTCAGGCTGCATCTGGATATAAAACTTCCACACAGAAGTATTTACAGATTTAAGTAACCTTAAGTGGATTCATATACTTCTGACGTACTATGTTTTGAAAATCACTACTTATCATAAAGGAAGCATGTTTTAATGTTACCAGATTGAACTGATTTCTCATCACTACAACTGCAGAGCTTGTAGGTCTAATCTCCAGTCTGTGTCGAGAAATAACACCCCTTCCCAAAATCTTTCTAAGAATTTCTCTCTCTTCAGTAATCTGATTCCAAGTCTGCAGCAGCTATTACTTAAGTGAAGCTATTTTCATTAGAGCTCAGTCAATTTTGATCTCAGATTCTTTTAAGCCAATCTATTTGCTGTGAGGTCCATCAGAAACTATTGATGTGTATTAGGAAGCTAAGTGCCCCAGAGAGAATTGCATTCCTCCATTAATCCCAGAACTGCTGCTGGCTGAGTAAACCAGTACAGCCTAAGGCTCAAATCTGGACTGTGGACTAACAACAAAGGCACAAAATACCAACCCTGCCTTGCTTTACTACCTGCTGTACTTCTTGGTCTACCATGTCCTCCACTGTACTCCTTCAGCACAGCAAAATTACAAAGACATCAGTGTTCAAGATATCCAGGGCCAGACAGAATTTTGTAGTGCATGCATACAGTTAAGTCATTATCCTTTATAAGGAAAAAAAGGAATTTGGGGCAGATTCCCATCATCAAAACAATTTGCTTTGCCTATTCTCTCCTCAGGGGAAGGCTGGAAGTAGACAATGTCTTGTGATACACTCAGCCTGCTCTCACCCAGCGCCCATCCCAGAAGAGACACACCTGAATATAAATGCCTTGTAGAAAGATCAGGTTTAGAGTGAAGGAGGGTTTCCCAAAGACCCCCAGGAAAACCAGCAGTCAAGACTAGGCTAGGAAAGTTAACCTGGCTAGAATTTTAACCTTTGTGCAGCAAACAACTGTTGGTTCAGTTGATGTAACCCTTTGAGCCTTGCTCCTCAGTAAACAGGCAAGGAAGATTTAATTTGCTGTTTGGCAAAACCCACAAAATTCAGCACTCAAGTTTAACTAAAGGGTAGTTTTTTATTTCCCGTTAAGACCCTCTCAAGGACATAACTAAATGTTGGAAACCCCACAGAAGGGCACATACAGTGAATGTGGTGAAGTACAATGTGAACAGCCCCAGGGGTTCAAACAAGGTAGGACCATTAGCTAACCAGAGGGAAAAAACCAAAATTACCAAAGATGTTGCCCCATTTGCACGGGGAAAAGAAGTCAAATCCAACACAACCCTTGCATCTCTAACAATACATTCAGTCCTGGCTAAAGAGTTTAACAAAATGGCAACAGGATGACTATAATACAAAACGTTCACTACTACACTCTGTACACACCTGTTGTCCAAGCCCTCCCGCAAACCCATGTAATGATGGTACCCCCATTATTTGCTCGCTTGTTGGGCCTGCCTGCGGAGGAGGACGTAGATCTTCTCCTTTATCCAGTCTTTGTTGTACGGTTGGTATGTCTGAGTATCGGCACGGTAACTAGAGAGGAAAAAAAAAAAAAGAATTAATGTAACGTCAATCTGTCCTGGAGCACGTTTACCAGAAGAACTTCACAAACAATTAAGGTTGTAATATCAGAAGCAGGTGGGAATTGCCACTTACCAAACTGATTTATCCTGTTCCCTAAAAACCAGATACCCAGCAGAGCAGTAAGAACCTGAACTAAAACTAGATGTTCCAAGGACTGGATCACATGTTCACATTTTAATTCATTAGTACAGACACTTATGGGAGACAACAAATGGAGCACCTGAATATTCTGGAGTTCAGATTGAAGAGTAGTCCTATCAGGAAATAATCTAATTTGTCTAAATGAGAGAAACATTTCTTCAATACCACATTGTTCATGTAAGTTTTCAAGTGTTCCACTTTTGTTTGGAATTTTTAGAGAATGAATAAAAGCACAATTTTCCAGAAGCAAAGGCAGACTCACAAAGGACTCTTGCCAGTTGGCAGTGAGGGCAAGCTTACATCTAAGAAAAAGCATGTTTACATCAGAAAAAGCAAACCAAAACCAAGAACCCGTAGACTCGTTTTCTTGGCTACTTTAGGATAGTTGGTAAAACTACCCCACCAGCAAGATTTCTTTCCAGGGACAGAGAACTCTGTTGTTCAACACTGGAATTGAAGCTGAATTCAACTGAGAAATGAAAGCAAATTGCATTAAGTTATCTGTGTAGACTCATGTCCTCCTCTCCCCCTTAGCTGTTAAAGGTTTTTTTGGATGAGGACTATTTTCAGTGAATGCTTCAAGAACTATTGAATTCTCAGTCTTTAGAACTTGGTACGATTATTTCTCATCAAGCAAGAAGGATGAGATAGTCACTGGTAAGAAGCTGAGTAAAAATACAGAACATTTACAGTTCCTACCTAAGGAAAAAAACCCTAAGCATACTGTTTCTAAGAAACCCTTATTATTTAAAACCCAGCACGAGTGGTTCAAAGCCAGAAAGAGTTTCAGTATGTATTGATACAGTAGTAGTTAGTAGTAGTTCCAGTGCAGTGTAAGAAATGTCAGTTTCAGGAAAAGTTACTCATTTCTGACCCTGTCCCAATTCATTCATAATGCTACACTGCAAGACCAGATAGGAAGTACTTTAGGACTCCCCACAAACACCAGACGTGTCTGATACGCTACAGGCTACGTGTGCCATCTGGTGGGAAACCATAAACTGAAGTAGAATTTGGCACTATGCTTGAGTTTACAAGCCTAATTAAGTAAGGCACAAGACTGAACTAGAAAACAGTTAGTACTTCCTAAAGCAGGTACCTAGCTTCAGTCTGCCAGACAAACTAAAACAAAGTGTGTCTCCCGCACTGCATCGGCCCAGCACTGACACCTGAAGATCAAATGCAGCAGAATCTTATAGGGACAAGGTAATTCTGCAGGAACTGTGATTCTGTTTTACTTATTCTACTGAAAACTTTTGTAAATGGCATTTGTACTAAGTCGCTATCAGTAAGATAGATTCTGTATGTACATCAGAATGCAAAGGAAAGCAACTCGATGCTCTTTTTTTTTCTTTTTTCAGATAGCTTTTTATTTTAAACTGGAATTAACTGGCAAAGGCAGGTACTTGCACTGGGATTTCAGGCAGAGCAGTACTGCTGCAGGAATGTCCACATCAAATGCTCACTGGTATAAAAAAGATTTTGGAATTTTTAAATTCAAAGCTGAATATTATGTTTTTGTTATCTGAGTATGAGATTTGTATCCTTATTACTACAAATTTCTGCAGAGTTCGTACCACTGTCACATCAAACCACACCTTGAAATTCATGGTAGAGAAAGTACTCATCTGGACTAAGTGACTTGGTTATAAAGTTAGCGAAATTTAACATTTGATTTCACAATGTAGACAGAATGGAAAGCACACAAGACCATCTTTGCCCACAACTTTAACACACAGATGAGAATTGTTGACAAGAACACTTAAGGAATTAGCTAGGATTCTCTGGAGGATTGACTGTTCTTTTAATCACTTCATTAGGATTTACAGAACCTTCACCTTTGTTGTATCTCGATTAAAGTAAACAGTTGGCTGCAATGTACTTCTCTAGACCTCTACCACACCACTAGCACAGCTGAATTCTCTCATCTGCCTCCTTAAGAATCAGACCAACTGCACAAAGGCAGATACAGCCTCAATTTAAGCAGATTCGAGCATTAATAAAATATGTAGCTGTACTAAACCGTTGGGCTTCAGTATGTGAAATGCTGGGAGGTTCAATGCAAGTAAAACCCAAGTGGAAGCATCAGTTTTTAAGCTTTCTTTACAGCTACTTCATGTCAATTAATTGGAGCAGCCAACATGGCATACCAGGGGCAATACCACTGCCTTACGAAGAGTTATTGCAAAAACCACCCAGGACCTTGTGAGATTTCGCGTAAAACGTGAGAGTTTACATGGAAGACTTCTGACTTCTCTAAGTCACTGAAATGAACTTGCACAACTGACTTACACAAGACAGCTGAGGTCTGCCAAGTCATCAATGAAGTCAAACAATTGGCTGATATCGTAAGTAATAGATGGACTGTTGGGATTCATTCTCTTCAGATGCTCTTCATACATTTTACAGACTCCTACAGAGAAACAAGATTCACAATGCAAAATTAAAAAAAAACTTCTGTATCTGCTGAAACATCTTCAGCTACTGAACCAGAGATACCAGGAAAGTTTAGAGATGACTACCACGAAAACAGAGACATAAACTTCTTACTTAGATTTTGCAGAGTTGAAATGTTTTTGTTCTAGCTATTTGCACTGAAATGTAATACTATAAAATCAGGTAAGATGCATGGAAGGAAGCATTATCATCATCTAGAGGAAAGAGTTTTAGTTCTGTCAGAGATGTAACTTTCCCTGCAGCAAGCTCCAACAGAAGTGTGAGGTTCATTTTAATAACTAAGACAGCAATTGCAACAAGTTTTCTCAGGTGTTTGTACAGTGAGGATAAGATGTAATGTCAGATAAAGCTACACAAATATCCTAAGAAAGTTTATTCTTGATGGAAGGGTCAAACACGGCTACTGAAGTAAGAGTGAGAACTCAAGCCTGTATATGAATTTAAACCAGTTTTATTTAAGCTAGCCCATAAATAATAATTCAGATACATTTCAGAAGAGGCTTTACGTGAGTCCCTAATGCATGACGAAGTGGCCTTTATTAGCTTTTGTTTGCCTCGCAAAACTTCCTGGAGGTAGAATTTTTAATGTCAAGTGAACTTCCACATTTAAATAATACAGCTGTAGTATTTCAATCTTCTCTCCAAGCTCACATGCATCTCTGAAAGTCACACTTTTTTTTTTCTGGCACATGTGCCACAACGCTGCAAATTGTGTATCAATTGCACACATACTTTTAAAAATATATTATTTCCAGTAGTAATCTCTTCTTTACATGGCTAGCACAAAAACTGACGGCATTAGGCTCTGATCCTCCAAGGAAACGCATTAACTCAATTCTGCTGCATAGCCCCAACAAGAATATTGCCTATTCTCACAAACTGAATATGCTTCAATGTAGGTAAATCAAAAAAGAGATATTTAATATAAAAAGGAAGTTTTAGAACTATTTTTTAGTTTTTTAAAATACAGTAAACTAAAAGTATTAAGACATTTTCGCTTTTTTTAATGAATTATCTTGGGAAAAAAAGTGAACAGCACTTTACATTCTTACTGAGTACGTTTGCAAATATGTCAAAAGCAGGGTTTTCACAACAGTTTTTGACTACCATGTCTGCACCCACCTTCCATGCACTCATTCACCGATTCATAATCGGCGTATGTTCTGCCTTCTGGCCTCTTGGTAGGCTGGACAAGTAGAATTGTGTGAGACTGAAAAAGAAAATAAAACAAACATGAAGAAAACGGGTTACTTGCAAAATCTGAAATATTTTTTGATTGATTTATTTATCTGAATGAAGCACTAAAAAGTGGCATAATATTAAAACTCTGACCTAGCAATCAAGGACACAGACATTTTCCAAATAGCATTTATTATTCATATAAGATGCATTAAGAATTTTTGTTTCCAATCAGACCTACTAATTCTTATGTAACTTTAAAAGGTATAAAATCACCAGTAGTGTTAGAAAAAAAATTACTATAGATATAGGTTCTATAAAAACACAAAACCAAAGGAGTGAAGTCAACGTATAAAAGCTATACCACTAACCCATTTACTTATTCCAAATGCAAACTGATAGTAGGATTTTAAATCACCCAGCTAAAGAGCAAGGAGAGTCTGACTGTCAGTCTCACCTTAAAGATGTTATACAGAAATGGCTATTTTAAGTTATTCACTTAATTTCAAGAGAACACAAATTATACAACAAATTCACGCTTTATATTTAAGATTACTTCCTGCAAAACAGATGCACTTATTTTTCATACTTCGGTGAGTTTACTGAAACAATAATTATGGCAGAGATAACTGTTCCAAGTGTCACAATCTGTAAGCTTGTTCTTCTGCAGGGAAGACTTAACATGACTGCACAGTCTGCATAATTTCTGTAAGGTTTCTTGGCTACAGAAAGTAATACGAGCAAACAACAAGAAAGATTTCTGAAGTGTATGCTATCTGTGACCTAATTAACAGGTTACTCAGCAAAGAAAAGTTTGCGAGCACGCTACAAAACACTATTTTCAGTGCTGCTAATTGGATCCAATATTTTCAATGCTAATATATGAGGTGAGCACACAATGTGTAATACTTGCGGGGGCAACCGCAGAGTATGACACTCTGGAAACAAATACCAAAGCAAGTTATGGGGCTTAAATTAATCAGCTGCTGATAGAAAAATCCTAACCCACACTTTGGACACATCAGTGAAGATACCAGTTCGGTGTTCATCAACTGCAGCCATAGAAAAGGAAAATGGCAGATATTAGGACTAGCAAAAAAACAGAAGAAAGCACAAATTTTTATATGACTCAGTGTTCCCATGCCTGGAATACAGTTTTTAGTCCTTTAAACTCTGTCTCAAATAATATTGTAGATGGAGATTCAGAGAAGCCCAGGAAAAAGTTTCACAGAGAAACAGAAGCAACAAGACTTTTCCCAATCAGAAACGGAGAGGGGAATTCAGAGCTGTGCACTCTAACAAAAGTCATATGAAGGACACTAGACCATTTAAGTCCACTTTCATCCGTGCCAGAGGATGCTAGATTTGAAAGGAATTCCCCAAAGGGGGCTGGTATCTGGCTGTTTTAAAGTGCACTGTACTCGAATGGGTGTGTCTTAGCAGGGAGACCAAATGACTGCCAAACTTTTTTATAAAATATTTTTTCCAGCACCACCATTTGTATTTACAAGGCTTGGTTCCAGGACTTGCCACTCTCATTTTCTGGGAGCATCTGACTGAGGAGTTCACATTAACAATGGATGAGGTATACTGGCCAGTTCAGTCAGTGTGTGCTAAAAAATTCCTCCCATTCTTTGAGGGTTAAATAAATGTGTATATATTCTGAAATTAACCCAATAATCAGTTTATAGAAAAAAGTATCAGTGATCTAGACATGAAAGTCAGTTCTCTCAGAACTTTACAGCAGAAATTACTTGGGCCTCAGACACTTTACAACACCAGATACTGGCCCAGAAATTATGCAACTTAATACCATTGGGACCATCCATATTTTAGAATTAATGAATTACATCTCAAATTTTTCTTTGGGAACTTCTAATTATTTTACCTTAAAGTAAAAAACAAAATCATTTGATTTGATAAAACTCCTCCTCCTTCTCTACTACATAGGTACAAGAAAGTGACAAGTTCAGAAGCATGACAGAAGTTTCCTCCAGCTGTTACCTGCCCTACTGAATATCTGCCTAGGTAAAGAGGGCAAAAATCAGTGTGATTATTATGCTTTTCTACGGGTATAAATCTTTTTAGGAAAAAGAAAACCAAAACAAAGGAAGATCCATAAACCTTTGTATGTTAAGAACATGCTACCTGGAAGAGCCCAATATCGACCCATTATTATGATGCATACATTGGGTTTTCTTGCATTTTCTTTAAAATAACAGTTGTACTGGCTGCTGTTAAGCAGGGCACTGAACAAGATACCACGTGTTTTATATCACACCAATTCTGAACTTCTAGAGACCACTTCTGAAAGTGTTCCAGTTAATGAAAACACAACCCTGTGAAAATGGTTAAGGCAGTGCGGACAGCCAAATGAGCAGGATATAGCTGCTGAGCAGCATCTGCCCAGGCTTCCACCAATTGTATCTATTCAACAATAAGAGTTAAAACAAAAAAAAAAAGGAAGATAAACAAGTATCGTTAGAATAAGATATACAGTGATGCAACTATAAGCAGTATACTGCACACACCTAAATGCCTTTCAGTTACACGACCTAGGCAGGAAACGTGGTTTAAGTGTCACTTTTCACGCTGGACAACAAGGATGGGGTTTGTGGTTGCTCAGCCTAGCAAAGGTTAACTGCTTCTGGGCAAGTGCCAGACGAGTGCAGAACTTTGCTGCAAACCTAGCAGCACCCGTCCTTCCACCGCAGGGCAGCAACTTGCTTCAGCGTATTCAAATCTATCAGAGGACCGCAACCAACTATCGCGACTGGTAGGCCTTTGTGCTTCAGCGCGCCACTCAAACAGCGCACCCGCGCAAACCACCGCCTTCCCTCCTCCGAGCGCTGCGGGGGGAGGACCGAGGGAAGGCAGCGCGGCCAGAAACGGCTTCAATGAACGCAAATCGGCCATTTAAGGTAGGCAGGCTCGACGGATCCGCCGAGTCGCGCTTCCACAA